TGCTTTTTCGCATTAGATAGGAATTTAGGAATTTAGTAATTAGGATTTTTTCAGTCGTGCGGCGCTTTTTGTTCACGCGCTTCTTCGCGCAGCTGCAACGGAACTCTGATTAATCAGCGCCTGTAATCGTTGGTGTAACTGTAATTTTGGGCAGGCGCCATTGTAACTGTATCTTTCTTCTTGCGCTTCGTCTTTCCCACCCTCCCTCTCTTCCTCTTGCTATGATTTTTGTGAAYCGCGGTTTGCATGCTCGGATCGATGCGTGGAGAAGGGCTACGTCCCCCACRCCGCAGCCCGATCATGCAGAACGCAGGCGCTCCCTCTCTAATCCCCGCTCTAAGTTCTGGTAATTYCGTGTCCTTCGCGCCTRCATGCACGCTATAAATTCAGGGTGCGCGATTAGTCAACTCTCTTAACCCGTTGTTGGAAGCTCGGGGTTGCGCGATCAGGAAGGGTCGGCACACGAGCGAAGTAAGAGGTGAGTAGAGTAGGAGTTGGGYGACCCGACGGGCTGGTGCCGAACGTGCGGGATTGACGTGAGCCACGACGGACTGTGGGCACGGGCGAATCCGACGGGTGCGGGAGGACCAAGCGGGGTGACAACTTCGTGGGTTGGTGCGTGACGACGGACTGTCCGCATCGGAAAGAGAGAGAAAGAGGAGAGAGTTGAGGTCGATGGACGTGGATTTGCTGTTTCTTTGTCTCTTCCCCCTCTCCATCTGYGTACATACATTTTGATTGCGGCCCCGGGCGGTTTGCCCGTTCTTATCTTCGTTTCGGCTTTCTGGAATCTGGACTTGGGTTYTTGCTCACACCTGTCCTTGCGATTGCATTATATGTATGATTGTCRAATGTATGGATGCATGAATGTTATGCCTGCTTGCCCTTGCTTTTTGTTTGTGCCGAATCTTTGCTTGCGCCAGATGCAGCGATAGATGGGATAAGAATCTGGCCCCRATGTCGATTTCGTTCTCATTTTTGCTTGTCCCATGATGAGGTTGTGATATGATTGCAACTTGCATAATCGACGATCCGAAGTGTGGTCCCGCGAACACCGCGCGAGAACACGTGTAAACGCGATCCGAGTCRCGCCCCTTACACACATTCCCGTACGTCGACTCGCTCACCCCGAAGGGAATCATGACGGAACCATCATCCCGTATGGGCATGATGAGGCGCCACTGAGTCGGCCTGTCCTACACGTGCTCGTGCGCGGTGACGATATCCCGACCCGCGCTATCCCATCGGCAATGATACCATGACGCGATCTTGGGGCTCAGACTCATCATATGACCCGGACTATTTCACCCCTATAATAAACGAKCTCATAAGGACCCGATACCCTTGTCACAYGGAGAATCGGCTATGTCTGCGGGAATTCCAYTGTGCCACCACTAGCGACCCTYGGTGCTCCGATTTCCCTTCCCCCGACCACACCTACTACTTCACCCACCCGGGATTCGTTGAGATCACCACCAGTTTCCCTCCTTTCCGCCTCCTTCTTCCGTATCATCAACTCAGTGTCGTTTYGTGGCCGGCCATAGCCCCCTATTGGCCCAACACGTTTTGCGTAAACTGCCGACGCAGCGGCGCACAAAGAACCCCRRAATTCCGAAGGTCCAACCCAGCTACGCGGCGGCCTGCGCCACGTGGCGGCCCCCGACGGCCTAACTAATCGGGACCACCTCCACCACGGAGGAATTTTCCCGTAACCCGTCGTCCACAGTGTCCCGGTCCCTTGGGACTATGAGACCCTTGTGTGCGCACCCCTCGCTCGCCTAATTGCATTCATATCCTTAAGACTCCCCACTTCCCCCAAAAATCCTTGGCACACCCCTTTTCGCACTTCCAGGCCCACATCCCACTCTGATCAGGAAGTCGAGCTGGGCGTGAGGTTGGTATCGAAGCCCGACACTTGGCTAGGGTCCTGGGATTGATAACACGTTAATTAGGCGACCTGTCTAACCGTGGGAGACCTCGCCCTCGGAACGCGCATAGACGCGACCCTATCGTCTCCAGAAGCAGATCGGCTAACCGACAAGCAGCCAATATGGCTGCCAACGTGCAAAATCTAGTTCCGCAACCAAATGCTAATCCACCTAATCAACCTGCCCCACGTGCACGAGCTCCCATGTCGCCACCAGATCTCTATCTATTTGATCCGGCGCACCATCTCGCAAGAGCATGGCTGGCCACGCTTAGAGCACAACAGTACGATGATCACGAAGCACAAATCAACATTCCGGCTCGAATGGGAGGAGACGCTCATCGTTGGTATAGTACCTATGTATGGGTGGATCTCCTGACCTTCGAGGGGGACTTTTTGAACCGATTCGATTATGTCCACCCTGAGCAAGTGTTGTACATGATCAAGGATCGAGTGGAAAAACCGCTCGAATCCGTCGTGGAATATCGAAACCGGTTCTACAGAATGTTCGTAAAAACTGAGCGAGGTGAGCAAGTAGGGAGAGATCTGTTCATTGACGGAATCCGCAGTCGAATAATAAGGGCTAAGTTGCGAAAGGAGTTTTCCCCCATCACCCATACGCTACAACAAGTTATGGCTGCTGCGGAAGAAATGGAACGAAAGTTCGTGACGAACTTCCTGGAAGGAGAAGATTACCCTAGAGACGGAGATTCGACCAAGCTCGCTCGAGCAAGAGAAGAGCTGGCTGCCTTACAAAACAAATTTGAAAACATGGGGTTCGTATCAGGACCTGTCACCTATATGGAAGAGATAGGCCCCAAACGAGTAATCCTACGTGAGACTCCGAGCATCTCTGCTCCTATGATGCCCCCGCCCGTCAGGGCATTACCCCCGCCGCCGGTAGAGGCTCCTGTATGATCAAACGAATCGGCGGTCATTTTCAAACTAACCAAAACTTTGATTAGTTTGATCCAAGAAAGCAAAAAGGAGCAGCGAGAGCACAATGCTCGGTTGGAAGCCATGATGAGGAACATGTGACCTATTGCGGTGCGTGCCCTTCCGATGCAACAAGGATTAGCCCCCGCCCCTGCTCTCGGAGGAGCTGCGAACAATCTGAATGTTTGCGACGCCTGTCATCAGCCTGGACATCTAGCCCGTGATTGCCCCGACCGACCCCCACAACAGCGGATCGGAGTCGCACCTATAGCTGCGACCCCCACCGCCAACGGACCTGGACGAGTCGGAGCCTTGATGGAAGAAGTAGAGGGTGGGGGAAGTGCCTTGGCCACCACGGAAGAGGCCGCCGAGCTAATTCCGCTAGATCAGTATGTGTCGCTGGGATATCCTGGGCTAGGAATGATCGGAACAATCAGACCAGCACCAGAACCAAAATAGGTGGCGGAGTGGCGACCGTCCTTAGGAGAAATGGAGTCGGGAGGACCCACCTTCGTCACAGGAGAGATCGATGTACTAAACATCATCCGAGCCTTGGATCATCGGATTCCCCTTTTGATCGGTCATCTACTCTCGATCTCTGAGCAAGCCAACGAGCGAATGTTACAGCATTGTAAAGCGAATCGAAAGCGATTCGCTCTCGCCCAAGCACCGAACGTAAAAGCCAAAGGCCCCGCGCCGGAAGAAAATCCAACAAGCACTCTGGATCCGATACGAATAGGATTAATTCAGAAAGACGATCATTTCCTATGGATTAAACACATTCTGTGGAAATCCGCAGAGTGCGATATAGAAATTTGGGGAATTCCTTACAACGCCATTATAGACTCAGGAGCAGTTGTGTTGGCTATTTCACTAAGAGTGGTCGAAAGGGCAGGCAGGAAAAACAATATGATCATGCTCACCGAGAAAGATCAGTTCGTTTCGGCAGATGAGGAAAAAATTAAAATTGTGGGGAGAATGACCAACGACGCCTTCCGATTTGAAAAAGTACACGCGCTTGGGGATGTCGTAGTACTAGATGTTAATACGTACGACGTTCTTTTCGGACTTCCCGCTCTTGTGGCGTTACGAGCAAACCTGGATTTCGAACGACGATCGATCGTCCTCTGAAATACAGGAGGAAAACCCTACGCTGTGCCCATGCGATTGACCCTTCGCACTACTATTAATGCGGTTCCGCGAGTTTCGCTGATGATGGCAGGGACTCTCCGCATGATCTCCTGGGACGAACCCGCAGAAGGGAAGCCACTTGCTGATGATACGGAAAGCAGTGACGAAGATGATCCGGAGATCTTGAAATTGGTACGATAACGCGTTTACTACCCGCCGCCCAAAACGATAGCGAAAACGATGCAACTGACCAGCCGAAAAATTCAAAGGACCAAGGCGATGATCTTGGGAGAACCCCTCGTGCAGATTTCGAGGATGGTCGACTCTTTGGAACCCCCTCAAACTCTGTACGAAGGGATCATCCCTCTCCTCGCCAGGTATAGCGACAAAAAACATTATTGCGACATTACGGAACTACCTAGGTCTTTACTAACATCGACTAAAGAAGTGAAATTGTTACGCTTGGGAGCAGAAGCAAGCTCTCTGGAACCCCCTGGGCGTTTTGAAGCAGAAACAGACGGACTGGGGATAAAGATTATAACTAAGGAAGTGTCATGGCAGGATGTCTGCGACGGGACGTGGCAATCCGAGAAGAAGATGCTCAGATGATGGCCACGGTGTTCTCCTGGCGATCGGATCATTCATTCATCTCGGCGCCTCCACCCGACTTGACAAAACAGGCGAACACGAAACAGATGGACGTTCGGATATGGGACCAACTTTTTGAACTGCACGTTCCACAATATGTGCCGGATGAAATCCACCGGGTGATTGCAGATATTCTAACGGAATAYCAAGGAGCAATTAGTGTGTCAGACACTGACATTGGGTTGTCGTTAGTAATCCAACATGAAATTCAAACAGGAGATCACACCTCAATTCATTGCAAACCTTATCGTTATTCCTTGATTGAACGCAAAAAGGCTCTCGAACGAATTCGGGAGTTCGAAGCCAGCGGTTGGATTGAACCCGCTACCGGACCTTGGTCCTTTCCCGTAGTGTTAGTACCGAAGAAGAATGGAGCGATTCGCATTTGCATTGATTATCGCAAGCTGAATGAAATCACGATCAAAGATGTGTATCCCCTCCCCCGGATTGATGATCTGTTGGATGTGATTGGATGCGCTAATTATTTCAGCAAGTTTGATATTTGGCATGGTTTCCATCATATTCTGGTAAGGGAAGAAGATCGGCCAAAAACGGCCTTTGTGTTGTTTGAGGGCACGTGGCAGTGAGTTCGGTGTCCGATGGGGATTTGCAATGCGCCTGCCACGTTTCRGCGAGCGATGAACATAACATTTCAGAACTTCGTCAACAAGACACGGCTGATGCAAGGAATGATTAACTTCTGCGTAAATGTGTACATGGATGACATCCTGGTCTATTCAGAAACCTATCATGGGCACGCGCAACACATTGAATGGACATTGGGTGCATTGAGAGACGCTGGGTTCAAGATTGCGCTTGAGAAGAGCAAATTTTTCCTCTCGAAAATTTCGTTCTTGGGCTATGTCGTGACACGTGGAGGATTGCGGCCAGATTCGAGAAACGTTGCGGCGGTGAAGGAAGCCCCGGTTGCCACGTCACTGACGCAGGTTCGAGCCTGTTTGGGGCTGGCGTCGTACTACCGGCGCTTCATCAAGGGCTTTACCGCGATTGCACGACCGCTAACGAACCTGTTACGGAAGGACCAACCTCTCAGTTGGGACGCGGAGTGCCAGCTGGCCTTTGCAACCCTCAAAGACGCTCTGGCAACGGCCCCTATTTTGATTCGGCCGGACCCCTCGAAGCAGTTCATTCTCATCACGGACTGGCAAACGGAGACTATTTCCGCTATTCTAGCACAAAATGGGAACGATGGTCGCGAACACGTCATCGAGTCCGTGTCTCGAACCGTACCGGACGAACGAAGAAACGACTCCGCACCTCAAGGCGAGTGTTATGCGGTAGTTTGGGGAATCCAGCACTTCCATCCATATCTCTACAGACAGAAGTTTCGCCTCGTAACGGATCACGAGCCTCTGCTAGCGCTGAAGAAACTCACCAACTACACGGGCATGATTGGCCGTTGGGCGGTGCGACTACAAGAATACGACTTCGATATCGTCCATCGAAAGATAGAACGGCATGGCAACGCGGACGGGCTGACACGTCTGCACCGACCTGTCAAGGTACCAAAGGGCGAGTAAATTACACCGTGGAAGGAGCCGGACCTGACCAACGAGCCTAAGTATAGACAAGTGGCAGTCCTCCCACGTGGCAAGAAGCAAAACGGTGGCGATGGGTGACGAAGGTAACCCCACTACCCCTCTCTCCCCCCCTTCCTCTTCGTCTCTCCTCTCCCTACCTGACAAATTTTGCTATTTTTGCGAAGCCATCTCCCGCGTATACTCGGTCTCCACGTGTCCTAATGGAGAAGGGTATGTCGATTGGATAGATTGTCGACAGTGCGTCGCACGAGCCCATGGCTCGTGCATCCAATATAGAAACGATAGTAAACCGTGGTTGTGCCCCTTGTGCCGGACCAACAAGATTCCGACCGAGGCTCGCTTTTTGGATGCCACGTCAGAAGGATTGAAAAGGACCCGGAAGTTTAGAAGGGATGAAGTATGGACGGATATTGCCTTAATTCCCACCCTAGTCGGTAACCCCCTCCAGGATTTCACTAAGGAAGATCGGAGGAGGGTCAACGAAAGGGCTCGGGATTATCGATGGATAGAGGGTAGATTAGAAAAACGGAAAACGGACGACATTGGGATTTGGATGCTAGTGCCGCATCCGTTCACGCGGTACGACTGGGTTAAGACAGCCCACGAGGAAACAACGGGCCATTTTGCCGTATGAATCACGGAGTCAGCTATCGATAAAAATGAGTGGTATTGGTCCAATATCAGCGACGATGTGAAATACATTGTCGCCAACTGTCAAGTCTGCGCCACTGACAAGGCGCCGATTCAACCGCCAAGATCGATAGTGCCCACGGTTGTTGAACGGCCATTTCAAAGAGTGAGCATGGACACTACCGACATAGTGGTGCCCCCTGACCCTAATAGCTGCGAATATTCAATCCTATTGGTATTTGTCGACCATTTCTCGAAATGGATCAAAGCGTATCCTTGTCGCACGCGGCAAGCCACGAAAATCGCACGGTATGTCAACCGTTTTCTCGAGATGCATCAGGATACGGAAGAAATCCTGACCGACAACGGGGCTGAATTTAGGGGAGAAGTACTAAGGAATCTGGTCCTACATGGCGTCGCCATACGTAACACTGCACCCCATATGTCACAATCCAATGGACTGGTCGAAAACGCTAACCGGGTGATAAAGACAGCGTTGCGACGAAACATCGAGGCACGGGATCCGAGACCCTGGCCCGATATCGTCGATCACATCCTGGCGGTCCATCGCGAAACGCCCCACGAATCGACGAGGTTGAGCCCCTTCCAATTAAGGACCAATAGCGTCGCTTGCGTTTCAATAGCAAGCCTCCCGGACGAGTCTACATTGAACCGACGTCCCACCAGGGCCACGGCTAGGGACAAGGCCAAACAACACCTAGAGCTAATGGAATGGTCACTGCCCAGGCTAGCCCGAAAACCTAAGTAGCATGGGTTATCTGACCGGATAATCTGGTCGGATTATCTGGCCGGATGATCGGGGGGTAGGATCATCCGGAAATCCGGATGATTAAAAAAAATGCCCAAAAAAAAAAAAAAAAAAGTGATATTGCGCATGCAAAATACAATAGAACTACATTCCTATTTCATGAAAAGCTTGATAGGGCATTGAAGGGTTCAAAGGGGGTAAGATAGGGAATAAAGGGKYTTAGAGRRGGGATGCTTAATTCATTCTATAATTTTTTATCTAAATATTATTTTCTTCTTCTGTTTTATTTTTTATCTTTATATCTGTTGAGATATCAAAGATGACCTCAAGCCAAATGTTGTTCGTATCATTCATATAAACAACATACTTTTTTTCCAGATTTTTTTGAATTTCTTTTTTTTGGAAAAAAATATATATTTTGCGCAGGGCCAGATTTTCCATAACCGGAATCAATCCGGATGATCCGGA